GAAATTAAAAGGGAGCTTATCGAATTTTGATACATGTTAACAATACCAAGAGTTGTTACCACCGCTCGACTATTACACGCATTGTAACTAAGTTTCTGCCGAATTGCACACATCGTAATGAACAGAGAAGACAAATGTTCTGGTATTTTCTTTTATTGTATGATAATTATATATTTGAAATAGTTGAACAATTGAAGATTACCTCGTGTTTAGGTCGAAACGTTTTGTTTATAAATTTTATAGATTGATTTATATTTTACTTCGTTTCGTTGTTTATGTATATATGTTATTTATTTTATTGGCAGAACAGTCTATTATTAGTAATAGTGTTTAAAATTGTACACAAATTCTAAGATGTGGTCTCAATTTTATTTTCGGTGACTTTATTACGCAATGGTTCTTAAGTTATTATACGATCATTTTAGCGTGGCTTAATTATTACATCACCGTTGCACATTATTATCTGTTGTATTACGACAAATATATTAATTTGGTTCGTAGCTCCTGAATTGTGATTTTTAATATATAATAATAGTTAAAATACGCGTATAAAAATTTTTCATGCATGAATATGTATAAATATGTTCAAACATACATAATATAATGAATTATATATGTTTATGAACATTTATACATAAAAATGTATAAATATTCACAAACATATATAATTATATATAAAATACGTCCATGTATCCTTCTATCTTTTGTAGAATTACTTTTAAGTGTAATTGAAGTAGTGTTACGTTCGGTGGACTCCACGATTTCTTCGTTTCGCGACCGTTCAATCAACAAAGATATAAACAAATCCAATTGATAACACAAATTCGAAAGAAGTTTCCAGCCACAAAATCTTGTTTGCCTAAAATCGAGAGATCAGCGATAAAAACTCTCTCATAACGCTGACAATCAAACGTTCGAGCATCGTGGAAAATCAACATCAAATAATCACCAAATAGCGTTGGTACCAAGGCGCTAAGCCAAGTCACGAAATAATCCCCGCGATAATAAGAGCGATAGCGCGGACCGACACTCGAAAGAAGACGAAATGTTTAACCATCTCACACCGATATCACGCGGACCCAACGATAATGGTCCCACGCTTAGGCTTAAGACAGGGTTATAAATCTAGTAATATGACATTTTCCGACACTGAGAAAAATCAATACGAACCGCGACTCTCGATTAACTAATCCAGAGATATTTATCCATCGTTCAACGTGAGAACGAATAAAAAATGACACAGCGGGTGGAGCTAACCGGAAGGCAATTTTCCAATGACGAATCGAAACTGTATCACTTCAGAATCCTGCGAACCTGATTCCCCAATTTCCCAATTAGATACACCCTACCATGGAACCTCCCCCTAAACAATTCCTATATAAACCGCGACATCGCGAAACACAGAGCAGAGAAATATAGAAAAAAGGGCTTTTACACAGTCATTAAACTCAGTTCGCTTTAGCACATTTGTACACTAAACTCTGTGCGCGATTTTCGCAATCGGGCGAACATTACCATCTTTTCGATTCCCGATACCTGAAAAGTTGTCGAGTGACTCATCCAAAGCCCCCCCGACATCCAGCTGAGGACACCTTCCAATCTCTGGGTCCAAATCTGCACGGTTTCTAAACAACAGTAATGGCTCCGGCACATCAGCGCGATGTTCATCGCGCGCGACACGTGATATCTAATGAGAGTATATCTTTAGAATGAGAACATCGGTAAAGCTGTACACTCATTGGATATCGCGTGTCGCGCGCGACGAACATCGCGTTGGTGTGCCGGATGCATAAGTCACTTCCCCTAACCACTTACTTCGCGAACCCTACTAGATCACTCTCTCGCGAAATATTAACCCCTATCAGCGTCTCTGCACTCTCAATTTTGCTTCCATAATTCACCTGTCATTCTTATCCTCCCACGTTCATAGATTTCTTCGATGAATTCTATATCCATTATTTGAAAGTCCGCTTAATTCGCGAACTTCACTTTTTATATCCCCCTTCCTCTTGTTATGCAGAGCCTGATAATAAAGCATGTCATTTAATCACCGTAGTGAGTGATAGACAATGCGTACGCCCTTCCCATGCAATTAAACGGTTACGCGCCCAACGACTAAGAGAGGCCCGTCGGCTCTTGGATGAAGCATACAA